TTTTCAAAGCAAACAACAGTATAGCTAGCATGCTCTATAATCTCATAAAGCAGGTTACGATAAGCCAATCAGAATCTAGAAAGGTTACGTTATCTGATAGGTTAAACAAGACTAAAGCTGTCAAAATTTCAAACCATCAAAGTTCATATATGCAGTAGTCCATAAACTGAAATAGTTTGGCAGTTCGAATTTAATACTTTTCCCTGAAGTTTTTTTACTCGCAGTCTGAAAGTGAAATGTTCAGCGAAATACGGCCGAATCGTGGTTCTTAAAAACACGCAGGTTTTTTCACACGAACAATAGAAAACAAACCGCTCAAGTCGTGTGTTTTGTGAACAAGGAGACTGCTAGGGATTACAGTTCCGTAAAACTCGGCTGCTTTGACTGATGTGGCCTTCCATTCAACACATCGGAAAGGATATCAGAACAAGCTCTTAGTTCAGTTCACTCTCAGTTGGAAGGGCGGTCAATGCAATTTCTGAGGCTTGCTTCACTGCGATTACCGGAGATTGCCATGATGAGCTACCTGCGATGGACCTCAGCATGATCGCGGTCGCTCTGACATCGTCATGATTTGCATGAATTTTAACAGTTATGCTAGTTTGAATATATTTTCAAGTTTCATCATACCCGTTTTGTTCTGTTTTCTTTTTGTAACACGAAACAATCTTTACTGTACGAGTGTTAGCTGTGTTTGATTTTTACTACCGTACGTAAGTTTACAATCTAACTGTACGCAGTGAAAACCTTCAAAACTCGGACTGTTCATTTCGTTTTCTCTTTGAGGAATTTTTGTCTCTTCATAAGTTATAATTACGCAAATTACTGCCCTTGGTATGTCTGGTTGTTCTGTTACTCCTTACCGGCTCGCTTATTCTGAAATTTCACTTTCAATTAACGAAAAATGGCTCGAAAAATTACCAATTGGCAGAACGTGACAGCTTCAGCTCATCTCCATGCTCTATAGAGCTCGCCCTTACAACCAATTACAGCGCGCATTATATACGAACTTTATCATGAGATGCCCTGCTTGGAACTCATCACGCCGGATAAAACACAGACCTATTTCAAAAATGGCGAGTCTAGTTCGTGATCTTTAATATAATAATAATAATAATAA